GTTCTCATGCTGTATATAGTTACGGTAGGAGAAATGTTAAAGAAATATATTAAAGTTTGTTTATTAAATAAACTATTGAAGCAATAATTTTTGTATATATAATTAATATATAATTAATTAAAGGTTAAGATAGAGCATTGAAGAGAAAATGATCGTTCGAGGCTAGTTGGCTAATAACGTCTGGGGTTATATGACTAGCTAATCAACCAACTCCAGTAATATCAGTTTTTACTCAATTTTCGTTATACTGAAGAATGATTAAATAATAACTTGTTTTATAGAATAATGATAACATATAAAAGAAAATCAGAAAGAGATTTAACTTCAAAGGAGATTAAAACTTAAAACTTAAAATTTAAAAATTAAAAATTAAAAATTTTTAACTGTTATTTTGTTGCAAAAGCAATTTTCATGTTTTGTTTAAATTTGATAAATATGTAATCATTATAATTTGTGTTGAGAAATCAATTAGTTTATTATTAAAATATGAAAAAAAGATAAATAATATTTTATAATAAAACAATTTCTTTGACATTGTGTTATTATATTAAACCACTAAGTTGTTAGTAACATTTTCTTAACTTCTTATACTTTAGTCAACTTATCCCATACTGTAAGTCTACCAACTTCGACTATGGGGCTAGTTGACTAACATGAAAGGTGTTCAAAAAATATTGAAGTATTTTAGTAGTAACATTGAGTCTCTCTACCTTTACTATTTCATCACATAGTCAAATATGTCTTACAAGATATACTAACCATTACAATGATATTTCGCATATAATTTATTAAAAATTAAATACTGAAAAATTGGCCTACTAGCTCCGGTCTCTCCTATACATAGAAGAGATTTTTATTACCACGTCGTTTACAAAAAAAATAGCAATCAAGTTTTTCTCATAAACTACTACTTTTTATACATGTAAATTTATAAATTATAAGTTCGAAATTTTTCATGTATAATGATAGCCACAAGTGTATTTTATAAGATAAAACCAATATTTGTTTAAATTTATTAAGAAGTCATTTATGTAAATTTTCCAGTATTGAATATCTACTATATTTAATTGGTTGTATAAAGCTTGACAATTAAACTGTTACAATACATTAATTGTTTTCTAAAAGAAATATAGTTTAGTCGGCTTTCACTCAACTGCTTGCAAGGAGCATGTCATATCAGTATAAAAGCTGGCTTAGATACATAAAATAATAATTAAAATGCTTTTTGCAGTTTTCAAAAAAGTTCGAAAAATATTTCTAGTTTTCCATTGCTTATATTGTATTAAATCTTTAATTTTGTAAAAACGAGATATTCTTAAATTCCAGTATCTTTAAAATTCAGCAGCGTAATAATTATTATGCATAGTAATTTTAAAATTAATAAAATATACGACGACCACTTGTTGAATAAATTTTTAAAATTTACGTGTAAAAATAATATAGACACTATTAAAGGCTGCCAGAAAGCTAAGTACAGCTTGTATGAGCTTGATTTTAGTAATTAGTTTTGATATATCTAATATTCTATTAAAATACTGCAAATTGATCAACACAAGAACTGAAATAAGTAAACCTTGTTGTAATATCAATTATGAATGTCATATCGCGGCATAATTGACATAGAATCTTTTATTTATTATTCTATTGTTATTGATTTTATTAATAGTATGTATTAAAAGTTAAAGATGGCTCTCTCTCTCTCTCTCTCTCTCTCTCTCTCTCTTCGCGTAATATTTTTAGAATAGACAGTTGAAATCAATAAATCTGCAACTAATGCAATATTTATTGCGTTCGTTTTTGTAAATCAAATTGCTTTTTTATCTTGGAAATTTCTATGTTCGATCAGTGCAATTAATCGATTAGCTTTATTTGCGTTCAGGTTTGCGTCACCTCTGACATCTCAACGATTTGCAATGCTGAATGCAGCTATTAGTAGAGCGCATTTACGTTTTGATTTTTGTTGTGTTTTGTTAATTAACAAAACATAATATAAGTAAAAGTTAATTGAACAACATAAGTACTATTTTATTTAAGTGAAACTTTATAAAAACTTATTTATTTTTTAATTGTTACTCACCTATAATTGATAACAATTGTTAATTACCTATAATTGACAACAAAAATTGAAACATATAAATGCGTCTTAAATTATCATGCTAGTTTAACCCAGAATGTTTTTTACACTTCAGCGTCGGAAAAGTGAAGCTCACGTCACAGCAATTCTTTTTACAAATCCGAAATCCATACTTAACTTTTAGTCCTTTCGAGACATAATCTGCACAATAGAAAGTGTTTATGTCTTATACATTGGTAGTACGAAGCTATTGAAACATGATGGGGTGTACGAACACCCCAGATAACTGCTTGTGTAACTATATAAGTTCGAATATGGTAAGAGTATAAAGTACAAGTTTGAAATAATAATATGAGTTGAAAATAACATAAGATGACGTTATGAATACTTATATTAAAATAAATAAATAAATAATAATACATAGATATAACAATTAATATAAAATAATAAAACTAACTAGTGAAGAAAAACAGATATGTAAAGATTTAGAAAATAACAAATAAGAAAAACAACTTTTAACCTGCAGAGCGACACAGAATTGTTAGATAATAGTTATTTACCACTCATCGATAATTCAGACGTTTAATCGAAATGTTGTATGTGTTCCTACTCAGATATGAGTGTTTTTCAGTCCCGTCTCGACCACGTTAGTGAAAAGTCACAGTTACTTATGTGTTTGACTAAACATCAATTTTATTTATTTGACATCTTATTTATATTGACATCTACAACTTGTTTGGACATGTGCTAAGTGACTGTGATTTTAGGACATTTTTATTTCCATCTTGTTAAACGATTTTGTATGTATAATAGAATTGACAACGTCAACACATTTAACTTATCAAATATTTATGTTATCTGTTTACTTTTGTATCCCATGTATTTTAGAATTACATTGATAAGGACCAAATCTCCGGTCGAAACGTCTGTACACTGTTATATTCAATAAAATTTTCAACACACAAACAACAGTGTTTGTGCTTCCAGTGGTCTTGTTACATCACTATGTTTATCTTGGATATTTGGAGCCTTCATTACCTTTTGCTGATAAATAATAAATTGTTTTAAATTTTATACAAAACATAAACTTTTGAGGATGAATCACTTACTGTGTAAGAAACATATGCAATATACATTTGTTCAACCTGTATAGAAGAGGATTCTAGCAAATAAATTATTCGCTAAACTCTAGTAGGAGCTAACACCTATGCAGCTGTCTATAAATTAAAAAATATTTAAAAATTTTGAAAATTATTTTTGGTTTGTTACTTTTTACTGTATAAAGTTTATATAAAATTGTTTCTCTTATAATATATATATATAAAGATTACTATATTTTATTCCTATATTGTTTTATTACTATATTGTTTATTTTTATTTAAAACTACTTTATGTAATGTATTTTTATATAACATAATAAACAAATATAATAACACTTAACCACTATTATTACTATTATAAATATGATAAAAATAAACTACTTTTAATACTTTTAGAACAACAAATATAAAATACATGAATTTATATGTGATAGCGATTTAGCCTTATTTTAAGTTGCTATAAAATAAATATTAATATATTTCGTAGTTTAAAATAAATATTACATAATATTTTTGATTTTTTTTATAATGAATAGTTTTTACAAACTTTTAAATACAATTTTATTTAAAAATCCGCAATATAAAAGCATTTTATTAACTGATATTTTTATATTTTAGAAAATCTGTCATAATAAGCTTCTTAATGTCTTTTTTTGTTTGTTTTTTATTTTCTTAATTTTGTTTACTTTTTTCAGAAACTATTAATTAAATCTATATCCATAATGTCCTTACTTCTTAATAAATTATAGAACAATCAATAATTTACAATATGTGATAAATAACAATGACTTTTAATTGGGATGTAAAAAACATCCCAGTTGACCGTTTACGCAAAAAATAGGGTAATTATTTTCGGGTTAAGTAAGTAACTTATCTCAAAAGATTCCTGTTTTTTATGATACAAAGTGTCAAGAACTTAATCTAACCTAATCTAATCTAACTTAATTTAACTTAAAATAGTATAACAACTTTTTTTCTTAACATTCTAAGATCAAAAGTTTATGTAACATGTAGATCATATCTTTGCTTAGTTTGTAATAAACATTTTAATGCAACATAGTTTTTTCAAAAATGCTTATTTATAAAAATGTTACGATATATTGTGTCAAAAGATTTAGAGTACTATCTATTTAATATTATAAAAACTCGTATGTGCAATTTCTTTAGCTTGCTCAATTATGTATATTTTAAGTTTAATAATTAATAATAAATAAATGTAATATAATAATAATAAGTTTTTTCTAAAAGTATCGCGCTTTTATTTTTATGGAACTTAATTTATCTTTGTTTGATATTAAACTAACTTTTGATATAAATTGTGTATTTTCATACTTTTCCAATTGATTTGGCATATAGTAACAAATAAAGAAAAATAAGCACAAAGAGTTTCAAAAATAAATACCAATTTCTTTTTAAAGAGTTAATTTATTTCTAACTACTATCTTACTCGTACGGACGCTTTCCAGCGCGGCAGATAATTAATGGGTCAAATACATGTGGTAAAATATGCAAGCTCGCGGCCGCGAAAAAAGGGACGACGTCAAACATATAGTCATATCCCGCGACCTGATTCCGAGAAGGTGATACAAGGACGCGTGTGACGTGACAGTTTTAATAATTGTTTTTATTGAGACGATGTTTCACGCGGTTTTGAGTATTTTTTTGGAAGAAAAACAATACTTAATTATTTCAAGCGCAATCTTTGCTGCGCTATTCTACAATATTATAATATTGATTGTTTGTGCAAGACAAACGGAATCCATTAATCAAATCTTATAAGCGCACGCACGCACAGATAAATACATGCACTTACTAAATCGAGTATGCTACAACGTAAGTATTATGTGAAGATAGAATAGCCAGTCTCTACTGACCTGGTTCTCTGAGTTAAGCAGTTTCAGTTGCTCATTGATGAGACTATATTTGGTGCTTTCCTCTTTGCGCAGCGCCCGTTCTTTCTTTAGCTCTGGACTCCAAAAGGTCTTAATACTATGCATCGAGCTGCCCAACTTCTGATTCGTCAGTTCGAGCTCCTTCTTCAAGTTGCCGAGTTCACGTTGCAGATCATTGTTCTGATGCTGTAGCTCGCCGATGTAGCCACCGCTGTCGCGCAGCATGTGCGGATTTGGGCTCTGCCGCGCTGATCTCGAACCGTACAGCTCGTCTTCCAAATAGAGACCACGATCGCGGCTACGTTCGCGGCTCGGTTCGCGTATTGGCACAAATTCCCGATCATGATCCAAAACGCCGGCAGAAGCACGGTCAAGACTGGTGTAACGCGCTACCATGCCCGCCGAGCTGGACATGGCGGGTCGCGAGGCGCTTCTGGATCGGTGATGTCCACCCCCACCGCCCCCAGTCGACATGCTTCTACCCCTCTCCTCAAGCATCACGGGACTGCCGAGGTCTTCGTCGCGAGAGTAGTACGGACTACCCAGCTGATGGTGATGGTAGCTGCCACCGCTACCGTAACCGAGATGTTCTGGCGAGTTATTGCCGCTGCGTGTTCCCCTTTGCTTGCGACCACCGAGAGGACTGCCACGACCACTTGCATAACTGCGTGACGGGCTACGGTCAACAGTCGGCAGTTCGCCCATGCGACGACCGCTGCGTGGCGAACGTGTACCACCACCAGGACCGACCACACCACTACTGCTTGAATAAGGGTCCCGTGACATTCTATAGAGAACCTGTACGCGAATTTGAACCTCCTTGTTATCTTATTTCTCCGATCTCTTCTTCTTGCTGTTTTTTTGTCTTTAGTCTCAGGATCTTAATCTTATCGGTGTTCTGTTTCAGTGTTTGCTACGTTCTTCTTCTTCAATCTTTTGATAGAATCTTTCACGATCGCTTTGTGCGAGTAGTAAAATGTATGTAAGTCTCTTAACGACTTGGCAGCAATTTGGTCAGTCCTTTTCGGCAGTGCAGTTTCTCATTTCTTTTTTTCAAAACTTCTAAAATTTTACGCTCTGTTTGTCACGCATGATGACCAAACGGTTCTTGATTCTTCTGATTCTCATTATCCTTATATTTTTTTACATTCATATCAGCTCAAATATCTGTGATTGTCTAGTGATTTAGTCAACAAGCGTTTCCTTGTCACAGCGAGTCGTTTGCTTCTTTTAAAGGGATTTTATTTAGATACCAGTCAGATAGGGAGGGAGATGTTGCTTCACACGCCGGAATCTCGACGCGTGTCTTCTCTCGAAATCGATCTTTGTTTCGTTTTTGACTTCGTGCTTCAGCATCCGACTATGGTCGACAATGATAACAGCGATGACAATAACAATATGGTGCTTCTGATCTCTTTTTGTACTTTGCGATTTACGCCGCCCAGATGCGGACACAGTGTGTTCTTTCAAGACGCGAGAGGATGTTTCTACTCTACGTGTGATGATGATTTCGCGAACGACTAGCATTGACAAAGACGTAAACGTCTATGTACTTTAATCACGTGACAGTTTTTTCTCTCTTTTTTTCCTTTTTCCCTCTCTCTTTTCTCTCTCTCTCTCTCTCTCTCTCTCTCTCTCTCTCTCTCTCTCTCTGTCTTTTTCTCTTTTTGCGTCACGTTGATCTTAGAAAAAACTGCCGATTCGGTCCCTTCTCTATCGGTCAATCGACTCCATCCTCGTCTCACGACGATGATTCTCTGCCCGATCGATCGTTTCTCCACCCACGCTACTGCGACCGCTTCCACCTCCTTCTCTTGAGTACAACTTCCGCGCTTCAGTGACTGGCGTACTACTACTAGCGGAATAGTACTACTACGCGCGTGGGTCACTTTGTAATCAGCGACGGTGTATGGAGAGGTCACGACTCTCGTCAGCTCGAGAATCGATCTTTGACCTACTTTCGGCGACGTAGCTCATCGAGCAAAGGTAGAAATCGAGAGAGAGAATGAGAAAAAGAGCAGTAGTCGATTGATTTTTGTTCTACTATCTTCCTGTTTTTTTTTTTTTTTTAAGTCAACATTATGCAACATACACAAAAACTCCGTACATGTGAAGGATCATTGTGTATTTTTCCTTGTTTCTTCTTCTAGTCCTTTTCTTTCTCGGCTTCCAGTCGCAACGCTCTAGATTTAAAACCGCCCTTTAGCAAGCAAGCCAAGTCGACAAATCGAACAGACTACCTTCCCTTCCTCGCGGATCCCGTTTCACCTTCTTCCGCCCTCGTGGTCGGTGCAGCACTGTATTCTGCGCCTGCGTTAGTACGTATGTCGTACACGCGCGTAACTTGTACGCTTCGCGTGCACTTGTCGGTGGCGCACCACACACACTCTCTTGCTCCGTCTCTCTCTCTTTCGTCTTCTATGAGATGTGCTGTTCCCGTTTTATGAAATCACCGCCCAAGATCTCTCTCTATTGATCTCATTTTCTTGTACATTCTTTCTTTTCTTCTTCGTTTTGATTCCGTCGTCTTGCCACTTACACCTCGCAAACGGTGACCGACGTTGCTTTCCGGTAAACGACGACAATGAAAAGATAAACAGCGAATCAACTGTCCGATCCACCGACTCACCAATTCACCGACTGACCGACCGACCGATCAATCAACCGATCAACCAACTAACTAACAAATCCCTACCGACCGCGCACTACACTGTCCACTCCGTCCACTATCGGAGCACAACTACTTTAGTGCACTGATGCCGCCACGGACACCGCTGCTGCTACCGCCACCCTTACGTTCAATCACCCTCTCTGTATCTTCTCCCTCTTTGCTCTTTTCCTCATTCTCCCCTCTTTCCGTCTTTCTCTTGCGTGTTTGCGCAGTCGAATACAGGCGAACTACCCCGCGCGCATACACACATTCGCGATTGCGTCAACTTCGTGTACATTTCCGACGGCTCCATATATGCGTTTGTGTTGCCGACTACTATCAAAAGTCGCGGTAAATGCAAGAAAGTGCTTTAGTACGATGCAAAACGAGTTTGTGCGCAGGGAGAATTCTAATGCTGGCTACAATCGAGTGAGAGGGGTTACCTTTGCTACCACCATTACTAACCATCACCTTTGGCTAATTCCGCCATCATTTGCGCCACCTTTCTGAAAAGATCTCACGAATCACGTCTATATCTTGCGAGTATGCTTCACGTACGTACATCATTACATCATATGTATTCGCACACAGACGAAGATAAAAGCAGTAGTAGCGCCACCATCGACGTTACCGTTATTGTGACTTTCACAATGCGCTTAATTTTTCCGTAACAGCATAAATTGTGTATCTTTTTTTCTCTGCACACATTTATTTATAATAATTGTCTCTGACTGTTCTAACAGTAAAACGATTTCTATATATTATAGTATTTCTATATATGATAGTTTCTACATATTTCTACACTTTGGATGCATAATTTTCATACGTGTAATAATTTTTCATCGTGGATCTATATGCAAGCAAGAACATATTTCTTTCTTCTTCTCTATTTCTCTCTCTCTCTCTCTCTCTCTCTCTCTCTCTCTCTCTCTCTCTCTCTCTCTCTCTCTCTGCCTCTTTCTCTTTCTCTCTTTTTCCCTCTCTCATTGATGTTCACAAGTGTATCATACTAAAATAATAAAAAAAGAAAACAATTGTTACTACTATTAGAAATTTTTGAAAACTAACATTCGCAAAACAGATAAAACTTTAGCATAGAATTAATATTTTAAAGAAAGATATTAAGCTTTACAAACATTTTTTGTCTCTTTAAGAAATCTTACAATAAACTTTGAGAAACTAAATTATAAAGATTGATTTTGATACTATTTTTCGATCACTCTTTTAATATCACTTTTCGTTATTACTATATTTTATTAAATCTTGTATATTTTTGTTTTTATTTATCTATTAACTATAAAAATAAGAAAATTATAAAATATGGTTTTATTATATTTGTTAAGTATATATATACCCTTACAAAAAAGAACTATTGCTGATTACATATAAATAAAGTCAGTAATATAAATATTACTGATAATCACACAAGAATATTATTAGGTATTACAGGAATCACTGAGAATATTACTGGCAATTACACAGAATGCCA